GTCACTTTGGGTAATTCATATAGCATCACTGTGCCTCAGTTCCCCATCTCTAAAATGGGGATCACGGCACTTTTCCACTTCACGGGGTGTTGTGAGGATAAACACATTTGAGACAGGCAGGAATGTCTGTGAGGGGAGGGCTCCTGCCTCATACTGGGAATGAGGGGCGATCAACAGGTTATCTCAAGTGCTTATATACAAATGCACAAAGCCTTGGAAACAAGCAGGGAGAACTGGAGGTCCTGGTGATGTCAAGGAACTATGACGTGATCGGAATAACAGAGACTTGGTGGGATAACTCACATGACTGGAGTACTGTCATGGATGGTTATAAACTGTTCAGGAAGGACAGGCAGGGCAGAAAAGGTGGGGGAGTAGCACTGTATGTAAGGGAGCAGTATGACTGCTCAGAGCTCCGGTACGAAACTGCAGAAAAACCTGAGTGTCTCTGGATTAAGTTTAGAAATGTGTGCAACAAGAGTGATGTAGTGGTGGGAGTCTGCTATAGACCACCGGACCAGGGGGATGAGGTAGATGAGGCTTTCTTCCGGCAGCTCACAGAAGCTACTAGATCGCATGCCCTGATTCTCATGGGTGACTTTAATTTTCCTGATATCTGCTGGGAGAGCAATACAGCGGTGCATAGACAATCCAGGAAGTTTTTGGAAAGCGTAGGGGACAATTTCCTGGCACAAGTGCTAGAGGAGCCAACTAGGGGGGGCGCTTTTCTTGACCTGCTGCTCACAAACCGGGTAGAATTAGTGGGGGAAGCAAAAGTGGATGGGAATCTGGGAGGCAGTGACCATGAGTTGGTTGAGTTCAGGATCCTGACACAGGGAAGAAAGGTAAGCAGCACGATACGGACCCTGGACTTCAGGAAAGCAGACTTCGACTCCCTCAGGGAACGGATGGCCAGGATCCCCTGGGGGACTAACTTGAAGGGGAAAGGAGTCCAGGAGAGGTGGCTGTATTTCAAGGAATCCCTGTTGAGGTTACAGGGACAAACCATTCCAATGAGTCGAAAGAATAGTAAATATGGCAGGCGACCAGCTTGGCTTAATGGTGAAATCCTAGCGGATCTTAAACATAAAAAAGAAGCTTACAAGAAGTGGAAGGTTGGACATATGACCAGGGAAGAGTATAAAAATATTGCTCGGGCATGTAGGAATGTTATCAGGAGGGCCAAATCGCACCTGGAGCTGCAGCTAGCCAGAGATGTCAAGAGTAACAAGAAGGGTTTCTTCAGGTATGTTGGCAACAAGAAGAAAGCCAAGGAATGTGTGGGCCCCTTACTGAATGAGGGAGGCGAACTAGTGACAGAGGATGTGGAAAAAGCTAATGTACTCAATGCTTTTTTTGCCTCTGTTTTCACTAACAAGGTCAGCTCCCAGACTGCTACGCTGGGCATCACAAAATGGGGAAGAGATGGCCAGCCCTCTGTGGAGATAGAGGTGGTTAGGGACTATTTAGAAAAGCTGGACGTGCACAAGTCCATGGGGCCGGACGAGTTGCATCCGAGAGTGCTGAAGGAATTGGCGGCTGTGATTGCAGAGCCATTGGCCATTATCTTTGAAAACTCGTGGCGAACCGGGGAAGTCCCGGATGACTGGAAAAAGGCTAATGTAGTGCCAATCTTTAAAAAAGGGAAGAAGGAGGATCCTGGGAACTACAGGCCAGTCAGCCTCACTTCAGTCCCTGGAAAAATCATGGAGCAGGTCCTCAAAGAATCAATCCTGAAACACTTGCATGAGAGGAAAGTGATCAGGAACAGCCAGCATGGATTCACCAAGGGAAGGTCATGCCTGACTAATCTAATCGCCTTTTATGATGAGATTACTGGTTCTGTGGATGAAGGGAAAGCAGTGGATGTATTGTTTCTTGACTTTAGCAAAGCTTTTGACACGGTCTCCCACAGTATTCTTGTCAGCAAGTTAAGGAAGTATGGGCTGGATGAATGCACTACAAGGTGGGTAGAAAGCTGGCTAGATTGTCGGGCTCAACGGGTAGTGATCAATGGCTCCATATCTAGTTGGCAGCCGGTATCAAGTGGAGTACCCCAAGGGTCGGTCCTGGGGCCGGTTTTGTTCAATATCTTCATAAATGATCTGGAGGATGGTGTGGATTGCACTCTCAGCAAATTTGCGGATGATACTAAACTGGGAGGAGTGGTAGATACGCTGGAGGGGAGGGATAGGATACAGAAAGACCTAGACAAATTGGAGGATTGGGCCAAAAGAAATCTGATGAGGTTCAATAAGGATAAGTGCAGGGTCCTGCACTTAGGACGGAAGAACCCAATGCACAGCTACAGACTAGGGACCGAATGGCTAGGCAGCAGTTCTGCGGAAAAGGACCTAGGGGTGACAGTGGACGAGAAGCTGGATATGAGTCAGCAGTGTGCCCTTGTTGCCAAGAAGGCCAATGGCATTTTGGGATGTATAAGTAGGGGCATAGCGAGCAGATCGAGGGACGTGATCGTTCCCCTCTATTCGACATTGGTGAGGCCTCATCTGGAGTACTGTGTCCAGTTTTGGGCCCCACACTTCAAGAAGGATGTGGATAAATTGGAGAGAGTCCAGCGAAGGGCAACAAAAATGATTAGGGGTCTAGAACACATGAGTTATGAGGAGAGGCTGAGGGAGCTGGGATTGTTTAGCCTGCAGAAGAGAAGAATGAGGGGGGATTTGATAGCTGCTTTCAACTACCTGAAAGGGGGTTCCAAAGAGGATGGCTCTAGACTGTTCTCAATGGTAGCAGATGACAGAACGAGGAGTAATGGTCTCAAGTTGCAGTGGGGGAGGTTTAGATTGGATATTAGGAAAAACTTTTTCACTAAGAGGGTGGTGAAACACTGGAATGCGTTACCTAGGGAGGTGGTAGAATCTCCTTCCTTAGAGGTTTTTAAGGTCAGGCTTGACAAAGCCCTGGCTGGGATGATTTAACTGGGAATTGGTCCTGCTTTGAGCAGGGGGTTGGACTAGATGACCTTCTGGGGTCCCTTCCAACCCTGATATTCTATGATTCTATGATTCTATGAGACTGTGAGGTGCACAGATACACAGTGAGGGGGGACAGATAAGTACCTAGGGTAGATAGATATTACATTGGGCAAAAACTACTCTAAAACATTAGACTTGCACAGTCAAGCACACAAAAGTTAGGAAACGCCAGAATTAAGGCTGCCCAATTTCCTAAGTTTTTAAAAGCACAAAACTAAAAAAAACAGAAATTCCATTCCATCAGTCACATTGACACCCAGATAGGGTGTCACCAAGGCTGGAAATTTTAGATTCACAGCACAGACCTCTGTCACTTGAGCTCACTGAGTAACTAGTAGCAGCAGTAGGCTGTTATCCTCTTTGTGGACCAGCCACTACAGGTAAGACACAAACTTTGCTATGGGGATTCACAGCTATTTGCTGGAGAACAAAGCAATGTTGATATGCAGGAATCTTGGGTTCAGTTCGGGGGTTGGGCGTGGGTGAGTATGCTGTAGTGCTTTTAGGCTATGTCTACACTATGCAGTGTAGCCTCTGTTTGTTGGCAGGAAAGAGCTCTCTTGCGGACACAAAACTTCCATCCCCAACGAATGGCGTTAGAGTTGTAAAGCGCTGTTCACACAGGCACTTGTGATGGACAAAACTTTTGTCTTTTGGGGTGTGTGTTTTTTTTAACACCTCTGAATAAGTGAAGTTTTGTCTTTCACTTGCCAGTGTAGACAAAGCCTTAGAGGCTAGACCTTTATAGGGGTTCCCAGAACTGTCAGCCACTCTGTTACCCCACTCAGCCTAGGAAGTGAGAACTTTGCTGTTCAGATAGTTTATTCAGACAGTTAAAGTTTGGCAAATTATAAGCAACTGAAAACAGGGCCTTATAATGGAACTTTTTAGGCACCCTTAACCATAGGTTCACTGCCTATAAATGACATATTGTGAGACTTGAAATAAAATCATGAGAATTGGCAGCACTATACCATCTTTAATGGATTTGTTCTACAGAGTGTGTAGGGTGTTTGAGTATTCAATTATTTGTATATGAGATCTCTCTTTTCCATCTCCCTCTCTCAAGCCCTGGTCAAACGGTGCTGAATTTACAAAAAATGCCTAATTGACATACAGTCTGTGCTGTGGTGGCTGCTCACCTATTTGGTAGCTATTGGTGAATCTTCAGATACAAAAATGGAGAGTTTGCATTTCAGAAGAAGCCCAGCATGGATGGTTCCAAGCACAGCGAAGTGCTTCAGTTTTGCCAGGTTAAAAACAATGGATGCCTCCTGGAAATGTTTGATAGACATTTGATTTGGCTAAATCTGCTTATTTGTATCTTTATTTTCCTTCCAGTTTTTTACTACATGCAAACAAGGAGCCTGAGTACCCCGCTGACTCTGCGGCCAGTCGGACTTTTAGCAGCCCCACCGTGGTTCTGAGGCTAACCTCGGCAAAGCTGTGAGCTGCACAAGGAGAGTGGTTTTCAGTTGTGGTAGCCATAGCTGGAAAGCCGCAGTATGGTGCACGCTGTCATGCTTGCAGCCCCCTAGTGTCCCTGTTGTAGCCTAAGGGGGACTCCTGGACTCCCTAGCCCTAACGCTAGGCTGCTAAGGTGGCCTCAGAGGGGTCAGCCTGCCTCATGAAAAGGCTTTTCACTTTTAGTCAGGTAAAAGGACACTCCAAAGTGCACCCTGTCCGGCTCCTGTCCGGGCCTGAGGAGCTGTGTGGGTGGGGACGGGAGGCTCCGCCCCTTGCCCAGGGCCACGGCACCTCCCAGCGCAGCCTTGTACGCGGGAAATAAGAATTGACAGATCCTGCGCGGAGTCAGACGCAGAGTTGCTGGCATCGGGCCACAAAATGGAGGCCAGGTTGTGACTACAATCCCCAGCATGCTCTGCGATAGGGGTTCCCGCCATCCTTGATTCCCCGCCCCCCTCGGCCGCTCCCAGAGCCCAGCCGCCAGCGGCCATCTTGGTGCGGAGACTTCATTTCCCAGGTGGCGCCGCGCAGTGGGGAGGCGGTGGCCTCCGCCATCTTGCCGTTCCCTCCCTCAGTGCGGCTGGATTGAATGAGCGCGCCGCTTGCTTGTCCCGCGAAGCGAGAGCCATGTCGGGGACCCCAAGCCGCGCCGCCCCCGGCGGGACCCCGCTCTCCCCCGCCCGCATCTCCCGGCTGCAGGAGAAGGAGGATCTGCGGCAGCTCAATGACCGCCTGGCCGTCTACATCGACCGGGTGCGGGCGCTGGAGCTGGAGAACGACCGGTTACTGCTGAAGATCTCCGAGAAGGAGGAGGTCACCACCCGGGAGGTAGCGTGGGGAGCGGGACGTGGGGGCCGCCGGGACCCGCCCGCCCTCCTTGGAGCCCGGCTGGCGGGGGCTTACCGGAGTGAGGGGCCGGGGGTCTCTGATCTGTCATCCCGCTGGACTGGGGTGGCCCGCCGGGGACACTGGGTGCTGGGGGGTGGTCTCGAAAGAGGGATACGAGAGAGAGATTGCGCCAGTTCTGGGCGCCGCTTGCCTCAGTGGGGGGTAGGCTGCACCCAGCCTGTGGGGGTCTCGCCTAGCGCGGCATCGCGGGGGGGGGCTGTGGCGGGGCTGCCCGGAGGGGTCTCGCCTAGCGCGCGCATCGCGGGGGGGCTGTGGCGAGGCTGCCCGGAGGGTCTCGCCAGGCGCGGCATCGCGGGGGAGGGGCTGTGGCGAGGCTGCCCGGAGGGGTCTCGCCAGGCGCGGCATCGCGGGGGGGGGGGGCTGTGGCGGGGCTGCCCGGAGGGGTCTCGCCAGGCGCGGCATCGCGGGGGAGGGGGCTGTGGCGAGGCTGCCCGGAGGGGTCTCGCCAGGCGCGGCATCGCGGGGGGGGGGCTGTGGCGGGGCTGCCCGGAGGGGTCTCGCCAGGCGCGGCATCGCGGGGGGGGGGGCTGTGGCGGGGCTGCCCGGAGGGGTCTCGCCAGGCGCGGCATCGCGGGGGGGCGGGGGGAGGCTGTGGCGGGGCTGCCCGGAGGGGTCTCGCCAGGCGCGGCATCGCGGGGGCGGGGGGGCTGTGGCGAGGCTGCCCGGAGGGGTCTCGCCAGGCGCGGCATCGCGGGGGGGGGGGCTGTGGCGGGGCTGCCCGGAGGGGTCTCGCCAGGCGCGGCATCGCGGGGGGGCGGGGGGAGGCTGTGGCGGGGCTGCCCGGAGGGGTCTCGCCAGGCGCGGCATAGCGGGGGGCGGGGGGGGGGCTGTGGCGGGGCTGCCCGGAGGGGTCTCGCCTAGTGGGGCATCGCGGGGGGGGGTGGGTTGTGGCGGGGCTGCCCGGAGGGGTCTCGCCTAGCGGGGCATCGCGGGGGCTGTGGCGGGAGTGGCTGTTGTGGGGAGGCTGTGGCAGGACTGTGTATTGCCTGGTACCCGAGCTTTACATGTTGCATTTGTTTGGTGGAGTTGATCAACAAGCAAGAGGGAATGAACTTTCTGAAGTCTTTCAAATACCTTTAAATTGTAGTAATAGAGATTTGGGCTCTAGTTATGCGATGGTCATATTTGTGATCTCAGTAGGGAAGATTTTTGTTAACAGAATGGGAGCTGTGTTAGTCTGTATCAGCAAAACTATGAGGAGTCCTTGTGGCACCTTAGAGACTAATAAATTTATTTGAGCATAAGCTTTTGTGGGCTAAAACCCACTTGTTTTTGTTAACAGAAGTGTCTCTAAAACTACTTATGGGAGGTGATCAGATACAAGGGTCATAGGTGTGACTGTAAGAACCTAGCTAGATCAGTGAATAGTTGCAAAGTACTCTGTAATGTATAACTAGTGAGACAGGGTCGGGCCAGATGGCTATAGGAGAGTAGTTTTTTTTTTTGTTTTTTTTTTTGAAGCAAAAAAGGTATTTTTTTATTTGCATAACACACTTACACATTGCATATGCTGTTTTGTTTTGTAACACAGCAACCAATCACCGTTGTTTTCTCATTAGCTTCAGGGGAGGGAAGTGTTCAAGCTTGCCTGGGCCCAGAGAAGGGGTCTTCCACCCTTCCGAGTTACCTGGTAGTCCAGAGCGAGGGGGCTTCATCGACTCTCAAGGTCTGCCACCCCCTCGAGTTACCTGGTGTCACGCCCGAGTGTCACCAACAATTCCCTCCTCTGAAAGCACCCAACGAAAGGGGCAGGCTATGGGGTAGACAACCGGGGGGGGGAGGGGCCACGTGAACCCAGGTGTGAAAGGACCCCTCTAAGGTGGTGGTGTCTGCAGCAGCAAGGGCTGGGGCTGGGGTCCCTTACTCTCTCCCCCAATCAAAGGCTCAAAACAAAGGGAGCCGGACGGGGACACCGAGCAGAGAACTTCGGACAGTGCCCACCGCTCCTCAAAAGCATCAAGGGAGTTGGTGGACTCCGTCCGGATACGTGAACGGACTGAGGATCAGAAAACGGCCCCACAGTCACAGGAAACTCCATCGGCCAACCTCCTCTCTCTGGTTTTATAGATGGCCATTTTAGCCAGGACCAGGAGGAGGTTAACTAGGAGATCCTGCGATTTTGTGAGGCCACGGATGGGGAGTGCATAAATAAAAAGGTTTGGGCAAAAATGCAACCAAAAACGTAATAAAAGATTTGTGAGGAGCCAGAACAGAGGCTGCAGCCTGGCACGCTCCAAATATACGTGTGCCAGGGTTTCCCTCACACCACAAAAGGGACAAGTATCTGGGATGGGGGTGAAATGTGCCAAGTACGTGCCCGTGCTCACAGCTCCGTGAAGGAGCCGCCAACTGATGTCTCCGACGGGCCTCGGAACCAAGGTGGAATATAGGCTGGCCCACGGGGGCTGCTCACCCTCCAAAGGTGGCAGAAGGTCTTGCCACTTTGTGTTGGGGCAGGGTGTGGAGCACAAGCATGTATAGATGTTTCCTTGGCGTAGTTTGGAGGCATACCGGCTGCAGTTCATGCAGCCGGCTCGCCATAAAGGGGTGGGGGGGTCGATTGGGTCTACGGGGCAGGGGTCCAATTAAAAGGTCCGGCGGGCCTGGGGTAGAGGGTGGGTGGGGCGTGCCCTCGAGCAGGACCCAATCGAGGTAAGCTGTAGCAGCGGGTGGCAATGCGGCCTTCACCTCCTGAAGTACGCGCCAGGGGGTATGAGGTCTGGAGAGCCCCATGCGCCGAGCGAGCGTCAGGGGATCCAGCCAGCCTCCCCGGTCGTAGTCCAGGGGTCTCCGACTCTCGTGACTTCTGCCAGGATCAAGCTCTGGCGCACCGAGCGGGACTCCACCACCTGCACATGGAGCTGGGGTTGTGTAGCAGGGTCTCCGTGAGGAGATCTACCCCCTCGGTGGCCGCCACGGACCTGGTGGTTAAAAACAGTTTCCAAGTCCGAAGGAGGTCCTGGTAGAAGACTGGCAGCCCGGAGAGGTCTTGCGGAAGACAGAGATAAAAGAGCTGCTGGTCATATCGGAGCCCTCAGATGCGGCGCAGGATGGCGTGCACCAGTATGTTCCACGCCAAACTGCCTGCACCATGAAGGAGCCTCTGTAGGGCCTGGAGGCGGAAGACGCAGACCTGAGTGTGCAGACGCTTCAGGCCCTGTCCTCCTTCCTTCAGGGGTAGATGAAGAACCCCTACAGGGGCCCAGTGCGTTCCTGACCAAAAGAACCCCAGAATCGATGTCTGGAGGCTGGTCAGGAAACCTGGGGCCGGGACCAGGGTGTTCAGCCAGTACCAGAGCATGGACAGGACTGGTTGATTAAGCACCAGCGCTCTCCCTCGGAGGGAGAGACATCGGAGTAGTCCCGTCCATTTCCGGAGCTGCTCTATCACCCCGCCCTCTAAGTTTTCCCAGTTCTCTGGTGGAGAGGGATGCGTGGGAGAAAGGTAAACGCCAAGGTAGAGCAGCGGACCCGCGCTCCACCGGATGGTCTGAAGCCTGGGTGGGAGGGAGCTCACCTGCTGCCAGTCTCCTACCGCCAAGACAGAGCTCTTCACCCAGTTGACCCGGGCGGAGGAGGCTGCCGAATAGATGGCCAAGTCGCCCGGGTCCTGGACCATGAGGAGCACATCATCAGCGTACACAGACAGGACCAGCCGCAGCTCCGGCTCACGCAGCACCAACCCTGTCAACCTCCTGCGGAGAAGACAGAGGAAGGGCTCAATCGCCAGAGCATACAGCTGGCCCGAGAGGGGGCACTCCTGCCGTACTACTCGCCCGAAGTTGACCGGTTCAGTCAGGGTCCAGTTGAGCTTAACCAGACACTCTGCAGAAGCGTACATCACCCGGAGAAAACCCACAAACTGGGGTCCGAAGCCAAACGCCTGCAGAGTGCTCAGGAGGTACCCGTGGTCCATCCTATCGAAAGCCTTCTCCTGATCTAGGGACAGGAGGGCGAACGACAGACAGTCTCTACACCCGAGTTCCAAAAGGTCCTGAACCAGTAGTAGGTTATCAAAGATACTGCGGTCCAGGACGGTGTAGGTCTGATCTGGGTGGATCATGTCCGCCAGCACAGACCCTAGCCGCAGCGAGATTGCTTTCTCTATGATTTTGTAGTCCGTGCTGAGGAGCGAGACGGGACGCCAATTTCGTAAATCGCGGCGGTCCCCCTTCTATACAGCAGTAAGGCGAGCATAGCTCGCCTGCACAAAAGAGGGAGGACCCCGCTCTGCAGAGACTCAGCCCAGATGGTGACTAGATCTGGGCCGAGGACGTCCCAAAACACGCGGTAGAACTCCACGGTCAGCCCGTCCGTGCCTGGAGACTTATTAGTGGGCATACGACGGAGGGCTTCCGAGAACTCTGCCAGAGTGAGAGGCAACTCTAGCCGGTCTCGGTCGCTCGCGCTGACCGTAGGGAGCTCCTCCCAGAGCACTCTGCAAACGCCAGGGTTGGGCGGATCCGGGGAGAAAAGACTTGCGTAGAAGGCTCGGGCCCTCCCGCGCGTCTCCACCGGTTCCGTGAGGGGGGTGCCGTCTTCTGCCAGGAGGCAGGTGATGTGTTTCTTGGCCCCCCTCGTTTTCTCCAGGGCATAGAAGAAGCGGGAGCCACGATCCATCTCCCGAAGGAGGCGGATGCGGGATCGAACAAAGGCGCCCCAGGCCCGACGGGCTTCTCTTGGCACACTCCGCAGAGGAGCGGGTCCTCGGGGCTGGCGGCCAGACGTCTCTCCAGCTCTAAGACCTCCCGTTCCAACTGCTCTATTGCTGCATTTCTCTGTCGGCTGGTGCCTCGGGTGTAGTCGCGGCAGAAAACCCTGGTGCACACCTTCCCCAGGTCCCACCACCGCCGCGCCGAGGGAAAAGCACGCCGCTGCCCTTGCCAGGCCAGCCAGAATTCCAGGAAGGACTCCACGAA